GATGGTCACGAAAAAGCTTGTTTTCATCTTCTGTCGGCATGGTCTATGCGTCGCATCTCTATATTGTTGTTGGTCTTATTAATAGTGCGATATATCTAGTATCTAACTTATCATATCTAATCTCGATTTCATCAGTGACATTATTTGTTTTTTTTTGCTCTGGATCCCTAATGTATGAAGCTTTGTATTCGGTCGAATGAATAATTTAATGTGTTGAGGTACTCTGGATCTTCGGTACTTCTTCGTGCTCTTATGGACTCCATATATTATGTTTTGGATGCATTTTGTTAGTTATGAGTCCTACTTTTGAGGTTTCTTTTGGGAGTTGAGCAAATTTTGTCCTTAATTCTCCCTTAGTAAACTATGTCATCTGCATCATCGTACCATTCATTTAGTGTCTCCTATTCTTCTACTATTCTATCTTTTTGTTTTTCGTGTTGTAAAATTGCAAAAAAGTCCTCTACTGTTTAATTCTAAATTCTTTTCGTTTTCCATGTTCCTGTATTTATTTATTTGTTGCTTTCTAAATTTATTTTATTTGTTGTAGAAATCCTGTGAGTCAATTTTACCTGCACCAGGAAGTGGTCTGAGTCACAGTTGGCATCTCGGTATGTTTCAACATCGTTTGTAGAAGAAGCTCATCACTTAGATATTAAGACGTGGTTGAATTGGCTGCACTCATCCATACTTGGGATTATCGATGCTCCAATACCATCAGGGTGCACCTTGAGCTGTTCCTTAGACCATTCTGTATCCAGAACGGAGCTCCCCTGCCAATGTGGAGGTTTCATTTTGTGTTGAGTCAGGTGATTATTTTCTGGATTTTTTGAGAACATATAACGATACATCTCTATTTTCAACAGAATTTTAATAGCGTGAAGCTATATAAATCTTCGATAAACTTTATAATAATTATAATTATCCAATAAATTTCTTGTACTTATAGACAAATTACAAAAACTAGTTTTGGCTTTAAGTTACGCAAAGTCGTAACTTTGATCGGAGAGTTGCCCTAAAAGTCGTAAAGAAAGGTTAACTGTGTGTCGTCCCGGTGTCAAAATATTGACGGGGGCCGGGTGGTTCGTTAGCCGGCTTATAAATCTCGTTGAAGATAGGAACCCGCGGCGGGACGGGTTGATCGCAAATCTGGCTAATTCCGAGACTTGCACATTGATTTGCGACCGTTCCCGTCGGTTCGAAAAACCGAAACGCAGTAGTAGGCCGCGCGATGTCGGCAAAAGATTAATCCGGAGGCCCCCGGATCCCACAACAGTGCGTGTTTCGATCCCATTTCTGTCCACTAATTGCGATTTCGCTTATTTAAATTTTTTGAAGCAATAAACTTTATTCGCGTTTTTTTGTCGTTAAATTGAAAAAAATCCAAAAATAAATAAACCGATTCAAATCGATTACAAAAATTGGATTTTTTTTTTGGTTTGCGAGGGATTTTGAAGAACCAATCGGAGATTTTTTTTTGGTATAAAACGCATATGCGTGTCGTCTCTAATTAATGCTCCCTTTTTAATATTCATCGAGAGCGAAAACACGGGAAGCCCAGCTACTGTTAATTTATGACGAAAAACTGAGGCATTAATTAAATATACATCTTGGCTACTCGATCCCCGCCTTTTTCTCCTTTCCAATTGCTACATTTCACGCAGCTTTCCGCGTTAAATCATTCTTAACCCCTTTTCATAATATCAACTTTACATAAAAAACACAAACGAAAAAAGAAACACCATAAGAAAATGTTGTTTTTTTTGGATGTTTTGACGTGTACACCAAAATATTTGGTTTATTAATTGTTTATTGATACCTGTTAGATGATAAAGTTTGTGAAATTTGAGAGAGTAAAAGTTGCGACATCTGTTGCACGTGATGTGAAGCTCGTGCGACGGTGCTGCGCCGCGGCGTAAACGTCGCGCGCCTATGAGTTACGGCCGTTAAAAGTTTTACAGTGTGTGCCGTTTTACGAGCGCATACTTTTCGCCCCGCGCGCGCACGAGTTACGACCGCGCGACGAGGTTTTATCGCGATACAGGCGGTTTTTCGGTTCCGTACCCGATGCGGAGATGATAAAACCGTAATTTGTGGGTTTGCACAGTTTACTGCCGTGCCAATGGAACAGACTCAAATTACACTATATGATCATCAGATACATTTTGTACCCAAAAAAAGAAAAAAGAATCTTAATTCCAAATACCTAAAACGTTACAGTAAATTATTCAAGATGTTTTTGTAGGTTATAGCTGGCAAGATTTATTATGTCAAACTTGGTCTTTTAGACACTATGAAGTGAAAAAAAATCAAACTTTGCAAAACTCGCTGAAGTGTTGAGACATCGATGCTTTTGATCATCGATGACTCATAGATTAGAGTATCACAAAGCCTGTATGTCTTCTCCAAAGTACTTCTCTAGGAGTTTAAACATTTTATCGATCCGATAGGGTTGTGCACTGTGCTCATGTAGCACATCTTGTCAAAATCTTAGTCACTTTGGATAACAGGGATGAGAATCTAAAAACAGGTACTAGTGGGGGAGGCCGGGGATACATTAGACAATTTTTGTTCTTGTTATTATACAGTGTGATTTATTAGCTCACCATCAAACTTTGATATATGTACATATGTCAAATGTCAGTTTTTTGTAAGGTTTAATAATTACATACAAGAAGAAACTCAAAATGTATGCTTATAGCACTGAAGAGTATGCAGATATAATTTTCAGCATACTNAAGCTGTAATTAATGCTGTCATTGATAATCCTTCCATTAGCACTCGAAGAATAGCACACAATATACATGTAAGTCAAAATTTTGCATGGCGCGTATTGAACCACGAAGTCCTTCATCCGTATCGTAAACAGAATGTTCAAGCTCTGCAGCCAGGAGATAATCAGCAACGGTTAGCATTTTGTAATTGGTTATTGGAGCAACATGTCCAAAATAATAACTTCATTTCAAATGTTCTCTGGACAGATGAATCATGTTTTACACGAGATGGTATAAATAATTACCATAATGAATACATCTGGGCATTACAAAATCCGCATGCGATTAGACCAAGGAAATTTCAACGTTTCAGCATCAACGTTTGGGGTGGAATATTTAACAACAATTTACTAGGTTTGCATGTACTTGATGGACGTTTGAACGCTGTAAATTACAGATTTTTTTGAACAATACACTTTTTGATTTAATTGAAGATGTACCTCTTAATGTAATTCAAAATATGTGGTACCAGCACGATGGTTCCCCACCTCATCGCGGAAGAGTAGTTGTCGAGTGATTAAACCAATATTTTCCAAACAAGTGGATTGGCAATAATGGTCCATTTGCTTGGGCACCTATATCCCCCGACCTTAATCCGTTGGATTTCTACTTATGGGGTCATATGAAACAAATTGTGTATCAAGTGGACAATAACACACGAGAACTGTAAGCGAACGTTTAAGTGTACTTTGAATATTATTTACCATTATTGTTGGGTTTAGATAGGATTTTCCGAGATAAAGCATGCCTTTTCAAAAACTTAATTTCGTATCCATTACTTAACTTTTCAGTTACTTGAGCAATATATTGCCTCATTGAACCGAAAACTTTGGCAATGATAAAATTACCCACGCCAATTTCTCTAGCGTCCTCAGATTTATGTGAAAAATTTAAATTGTCGTGAGAACTATCTGATTTCCATACTTTACACTGCTCATCAGACGATTTGTCATCCAATACATTCCCCGTTGCTTTATCTTTTTCAAAAACTTTCTTCCTTGGCACCTCATCATCGACAATTCGCCTCTTAGACTTTTGGTTTTAATGTCTTACGCAACTTCTTCTCTTTTCTACTAGCTATTTCATCTTTTTCGTGCGTGTCAGTGGCGATAATACTTTTCCTTTCTTGGGGTCCACGTTTTGTGGTTTTTCTTTCACCTGCTTTGGGAAATAATCTTGAGGGCAGACAAATGGTGTTGCTTGAGATGTTGTACTGGTTGAAGGTGTTGAGCTTGTTGCTGGAAGATTTTCATCATACTTGTTTTGTTCGTCAGTTTTTCCAACAGGCAAAGGTCTATCCGTTAAATAAGACGACAAACAGTCTTCCTCTGTAAAAGCTGCTCTATCAAAAGACGAAATACCGGTGCATTTGAAACCAGATTTTATATTTGTAGGAGTTGCTGCGCGATCCCATGTCATACAACAGATTACTGGGAGATCATAAGTTGTTGTCGTTTGACTTGGATGGGTTAACATCCAAGAATTGTCACTTGTCATCCAGCCTGATTTATGTATCAGTCCAATATCACCGGTCGTATCAGGAACACCTTGCATCTTTCTTTTTTGGTAGAGATGGTAGAGTTATGCCATTGGTACCTATTATTCCCACTTGGGTTATTACTTCGCCATGTTCTCTTGAGGTTACTTGTCCTATTTGATGCTGACCTTTTTTGCCGATTATTTTCCGAACCTTCTGAACCGTGGTGATAACGGTGTGGAAAAGACACACTCTATGACATAAAGTTTGTTTTTTTAAACTAGAAATAAATTCATCTAATTAAAAAAAAAAATTTTCACATTTTCTGAATTGAAACTAGTCATCCTAGCTAAACTTGTCACCTCGGGAGTTCTAATGGATAATGACGAGTTTCTCTTCATAAACCTTGAAAACCAATCTTCACCCGCCATATCATTTATAGCCCATGTCTCGAGCATTATCAAAGAATTCTTTTGAACATATTCAATTGCTAGTCGTTTTACTTCTTTTGGTGTTAAACTATGAGACATGTTACTACATTGCAACAAGTATTCCACAAGTTTAGGTTAGTATTCTTTTTGCCAAGTTTAGAAATTCCCGAAAACCGCTAAAAACTATGGATATTGCCAAATTATAGGAAACTTAAAAATTTCTGAGGACCTTTATAAATACCAAGTTATCCTTGAAAAGAAATAAATCTAAAAGCACAATATTCAAGGTTATTGTTAATAATAATAAAATATGTCAAAATTTGTCAAAATAAAATATGTTGAAATCTTTCGTTCTTCATCACCGCCTATACATAAAACTCCTTAATGGATTATTTTCAAAACAACAAGAGTGGGATAGTTCTGATAACAAGAAGGTTGAACCTAAACCGATCAATCAACAGCAATCCACCTACAGACCGTATAGTAACCATATTAATCGCACAGATTCAATTCATACATCGAATGAGAACAATATGAACACAACAACGTGCATTGTTACTGCACAAGGTGATGAAAATGCACCTGGATCTATCAGTGGATTAGATAGATTGAAAAACCCCATCACAAATAAGGGCCAAGCTTTTACTATTGAAGAAAGGCAAGCTTTAGGTATCCATGGATTACTTCCACCGGCTGTAAAAAATATTGAAGACCAATTAACGCAAGTTGATGCACTTTTAAAACGTTTAGAAAAACCTCTTGATAAATTTTTATGCATTATGAATTTATATGATTTAAATAGAAATTTATTCTTTAAATATTTTCGTAAAAACATAATGAGTGTGATGCCAATAATTTATACTCCAACTATTGGTGAAGCCTGTTTAAATTACAGTTTGATTTTCGATCGTCCCCGTAACCTTTATATTACTATTTATGATAAAGGGAACGTTTTCAATGTGTTAAAAAATTGGCCTGAAAGAATTATAAAATTCATCGTAGTCACTGACGGTGAAAGAATTTTAGGTTTGGGTGATTTAGGAGCTAACGGAACTCCAATTCCTATTGGAAAATTAGCTTTATACACAGGAATAGCCTCAGTAAAACCTCACCAATGTTTACCAATCACCATAGATGTCGGTACGAATAACAAAGCATTGTTGGCAGATCCTCTTTATATTGGACTTAAACAAGAAAGAGTTCGAGGAAAAGATTATGATGATTTAATAGATGAATTTATGGAAGCTGTTGTTCATAGATTCGGCGTGAACACTTTGATTCAATTTGAAGATTTTGGAAACAGTAATGCATTTAGATTGTTAAATAAATATCGAAATCAATATTGTTGCTTTAACGATGATATTCAAGGAACTGCAAGTGTTACTCTTGCTGGGATTTTGACTGCATTGAGAGTTTTAAAGAAAAACCTTACGGAATTAACCGTTGTCTTCTTTGGAGCTGGTGAAGCTAATATAGGTATCGGAGAATTATTAACCATGGCAATGATTGAAGAAGGTATTCCAGAAAATGAAGCAAGAAAGCGATTATGGTTTATAGATAGCAAAGGTTTAATAGTGAAGGATCGACCAGAAGGAGGAATTACTGAACATAAAAAACCTTTTGCCCATGATGCACCACCACTTAAAAATTTAATTGATGTGATTAAAACATATAAACCAGATGTTTTAATCGGAGCTGCTTCAATTCCTGGAATATTTACAAAAGAAGTTTTACAAACAATGGCTGCGCAAAAAGAAATTCCAGTAATTTTTGCTTTAAGTAATCCCACTTCAAAGACTGAATGTACAGCTGAAGAAGCTTATACTCATACAGATGGTCGGTGTTTGTTTGCATCTGGATCACCGTTCCCTCCTGTTACGTATAATGGAAAAACATACATTTCTGGTCAAGCAAATAACTCGTACATTTTCCCATCAATTGCAATGACTGCGTCATTAACTGGTGTCCGTCATATAACCGATTCACTGTTTTTAAAAACAGCATCGATTTTATCTAAAGCTGTAAAGGATGAAGATCTTGAAAAAGGATGTTTATTCCCGCCAATTAGGGAATTAACTCAATTATCAGAACATGTAGTGACAAAACTTGTGGAATTTGCATACGAGGAAGGAATGGCTACAGTATGTCCAGAACCAAAAGATAAAAGAGCTTATTTGCTATCTCAAGCGTACCAAACGGATTATGTTCCAGCAATTCTACCTTCTTACCCACTTCATTGTTAGATGTAATATAATAGGGAGACCAAAAAATCTGCATATAGGCAAATTTTAATTTTTAGATAATTTTATTTGCTGGCTACTCTTAATTATTCACTATTGTGTATAATGGGTAGAGGTTATTTTATTTATTATGTATAAAAGGGATGTAAATGTATATTGTAAATGTGGAATAAAAAGAAAATATATTAAAAGGATATAAATGTTGAAAAATTAATTTTAAATACTAATTTGGAATTTTGTGTTCTAATGCTACAATTTTATTGGTCTTTAGTGCCTCCTGAACCTTAGTCATTCCACAACATTCACAATAAAATGTTTATAAAAAAAATTATTGTGGATAATGTGGAATATGTAGTGGGATGTCAGAACAATGTTTATACATGTTAGGATTAATATAGTGAGATGTTGTAGGTGATGTTGAGAATGTAAGTGATGATATTTGAGGATATCAAGGACGATATACAGAAGGATGATGATAAAGGCTAGCGACAATAACAGATTTCAGAAATGATGTTAAGTTATAACGATGATATTGATAGATGGCCAGGAAGGATGGAGACCTGAATAGTATTAAGACATATCAAAGACGTTAAACATTAGTAGGAACATAATGAGTATTCTGACAGTCTGGGAGATGTCAGTAATGGTAAGAACGGTAGTTATATGATAATTCTGAAGAGCTTATTAGACACTTCTAGAATTAATAGTAAAAGAAAATATGTGCTATGCATATCGAAATGGTTTTAATACGTAAATGGATATAGAGTCTTTCGGAATCGTTTAGTTGTCAGTTATCCAAGAATACCAAGGAAGTTAATATTTTCGTGTTTTATTCCAAGTCAGTACAATCTTCGGTTTGATGACTGTATCACATCATACACGAGAAATTTCCATCCGTTATCTTCAAAGTAAGATACTCTGGTGGTCAATGCTTCTTTGGCTATGTCTACTTTGGTCCCTTTCAATAGATCAACAACATGGTTTAGGCAGATTGATAGCGGCTTTTTATTGCAGTAGATTATACTACATCTCAGTTGTTGTCACCAAATTTATTTCGATTCTTCAGGTTGATTGCGAACAGTCATCATTGGAATATATATTATGTATATGAGAAAAACGATATTGTCTTCACGACGACGTTTTTGGATTGTCGAGGTTGCGATTCTGTTAGATTGATCACACAGCGATGTATTAGTTACGCCAAACGTAGCGTAGAAGCTAACCAACAAGTTATGGGCAACATCTCCTTTCAAGAGTGACGTTATCTAGATGAATATTCCTCTCATTCCGTGGTTGACTACGCTGGGTTATGTCAGCTTAAACTTTCAAGGGTGATGTAATGTGGATGGACATTTTGCAAATATTATTAATCAATCAGTGCAATATAAAAATGGTTACATTTCGTTTTGAGCAAAACCACTTATCCCAACTGTATCTATACTTGTTGTATTAAATATCATATAGAGTTAATATGGTAAAGAAACGTATTACAAGCTTCATAAAATAAAATCTTCCTTTCATCGAAATCTCTTAACCTAAACCATAAAATCTGTTTTCATGGAGATGTGCATTCTCTTAATATTATATTTAAGGGAGTGTTATCTCCCCTTCTTTTTCATGGCAATATATTTAAGAAATTTGTTTCTTATCAAAGCCTAAATCAATGAATTAGTTATGATTGCTCTTTTATATTTGACATCATGTTTATTTTAGTGAGCAATAAATTACTATTAACTAGTGCAATTTTTATGTATAATTAATACATAAAATACTCGATAATGTAATTGGATTGTCGCTTATACCAATTGAGGAAGTAGCCTTAAAATTTTTCAAAAAAACATTTTAATTAAAATCTCTGCATAATATAAGAAAGAAGATCTAACTTAAAAAGTCTTAATAACAGTTGTATGAAGCGTTATACTGGAAGTTGTGAAAGGTCTTGATGATAGAAAGACTTTCTACACTTATTGTAAGTATACTCAAGTTGGGTTTTTTGATTTCTGTGAGGCTAATAAAAAAGAAATTCTTTTTGTCTCTAATAAACATATGCTTACAAGGCAAAAAATTCCCTTGATATCTAATGATGTACTCATGTTTATATTTAGAAATTACGAAGTTTTAGGTGAGAGATCACGTCATCTAACAGCAAGATATAAACAATTTCTTAAAAAGCCGTTAATAATAATATTAAGTAACGACCAGAAATAATTCGATCTAGTTATTTATATATAGTTATTGAAATTTTTCAATAAATTTTTCACCTTTAAAATATGGTATCGTTAATTCTTGACACGCTTTTAGTAATTGGCGCTCGTAATCCAACACTTGCCCGACTTACGGCTCGACAAGCGGCTTAGGATTTCATATCCGGAGATTATAATTAGAGGCGTATCGCTTCCAGGAGGAGGGTTTTTGGGGGCGTCGTTGCTTTGGGGATGACGACGCCGGGCGTCAGTTCCCGGGGGACATCGCCAGACGCGCGCCATGAGAAACGGTCCTAATTATCATTTCTCCGACGATTCCATCAACGTCAATCTTATCCGGTTACATTCGAGGGGGAAAACTTTACTTCCCCGATAACAACAGCAATTATTATTCGAACCTAACTTCTCAACAATCTTTTTTACTAATGATCATCGTTTTACAATTTTTGTTTTATCTTTTCTGGTTTTAATGTCTTCGTATCTATTTGTTTTGAATTTTTGTTGGGATATGTTTTTTTTTTTGGAAGAGTCATACAATTAAATTACACATCGAGAGCGGGTTTTCGAAGCCGCACGTCGTTATAACAAACGAGCAGAGTCTTTATCGGTTATCGCCGAGGCTCCCAACAGGAGTTCTTTGGTTTCTTTTTTTCTTTCTTCGCCGCATGCCAAGAGGGTCCCGGCGCGAACAATTCCAATTATTATTGGACCGAGACCGGACCCCCGATATCTAACCGCATCTCGAACCACGGCAATAAATATGAAATATCAATTATGAATATCTAAAGAGGGCAACGTGCATCCGCCCTTCACTCAGCGTCCAACAGCTGTTCGACAATTTTCAAAACGATATTCAAATAAAATGATTTACCATTTCAATAATTTTTCCTATTAATTAACCTGGATAAAATAACGAGTACTCTCATCTATCAAAATAAACTCAGAATAGTTTAACACTCGGTAAATATTTTTCATCGCGTTTCGCTAACGAGTCGCTGGTTAATTTTTGCGTTGAATGCTGAAATATGAGCCTCGTCAAATTCGATAGGCGGCGCCACCACGTGGTAATTAATATTAATTAAAATTTAATTCCAAAGGTTTTGCTTCTACCAGCACCGGGAGCCGGGAAGCTTTTTCACCCCCAACCTACCCGTTTCAAGTCTAAAAACGAAATTCTCCGTTGTTGCGGGGGAACGGAAATATTGTATTTCTCCTGGGCCACCCTGTCGTTTCTCACTCTGCTCCTGTGTTATGTAGTATGTAGAGACGTCAGACAATGACGTGACGGACCCTTGTCATGTCCATTGACAACCGGAAAGAATTCTGTACGCGCGGACCCCTTACCGCGTTCCCGACCCCAAGAACAACGCACTCGAATTAGGGTCGTTTTGTTATTCAACTGTTATTCCGGACAATAATCGACCCTTTCTAAGACGACTTTGTAACGATTATAAATACAAAATAGAAATGTTGAAAATCATTAAATGAAGTATGTTTAAAATAATAAAAACTTAAAAGTCTTCATCTACCTGTTGATATTTATGACATGACTCCGAAAGGAAACGAAGTAGAATGGTTGGTTCTATAAATCCAGATAAAACAATTCATGCTCCTCTTAATGCTGTTTATACGCATACAATGAACCTCTATTCAAAAATATTCTGTATCTACCCAACCTATTGCTAAATTGGTTTATATTAAATATTTATATGACTATGAAATGTTGATGATATTAAATTCTGACTTAAAAGCAGGATACAATTCCTGCGCTTAGAATGTATATTTAGATAAACTCTGTTTGGAAGAAAGTTTCGGTAGTGTTCTTTTGCTATTACTTCTTTGTTGATTCCACAATATGTATTCATCTTAGCTGTTGTGAGGATTCCTTTCGTGGTAGCATTTTCTGCTCTTCTCTCTATCGCGTATCTTCTAACAGATCTTATATATACACTGTGTTAACTAATTATCGTATCCAACATCATCATTACAAGTATGCAACCAATATCACAATATTCGTATTACAATACCAATACTATTGCAAGTATGCAACCAATATCACAATATGCGTATTGCAATACTATTATACTCTGTTTTTAAACCAGGAGGAGTATTTTAAATTTGTCACCAGATTGACCTTGCACGTGATTGGTTGAATGCGAGGAAGGTTCACACACAGGCAATTTTGAATTTTGATTTTGAATTTGAAGGTTAGGTAATTGATAATTCGACAGTTTCGTGTCATTATTGTATATTTTGTGTTCTTAAACCCTTTTTTATTATATTTTGAAATAAATACACTCATAACTTCAATGTTAATTTGTATGTATAGTGTTGACGATAACAAACGAAAATAAATACAATAATAAGTAAATAAATAAATAATAATAATTATTAATTTAAATTTACCGCCAAAATATCTAGTGATATTTTCTGGTGATTTTTCCTAGTGTAAATCTGACTTTCGCGTTTACTCCTCCTGGTTTAAAAACAGAGTATA